GGAATACTTACTAGCCAAAAATATCTTTTAATGACAAAAATATTAATTACTTTTGTAATGGCAATTGGAATGATATTAACTCCTATTTATTCATTATCTATGTTACGCCAGATGTTCTATGGATACAAGCTTTTTAATGCCCCAAACTCTTATTTTTTTGATTCTGGACCGCGAGAATTATTTGTTTCGATCTCGATCCTTTTACCTGTAATAGGTATTGGTGTTTATCCCGATTTCGTTTTCTCATTATCAGTTGACAAGGTCGAAGCTATTATATCCAATTATTTTTATAGATAGTTTTCATGAGTAAACCAAAGGATTAAACGGAAATCCCATGATTTTAAAAATCGTTCATTGTACAATAAAAAATAAGTCCTTTTTTTCTTTTAAGTTAAATTTGAAGTTAAATAAAAAAATTGGAATTATATTATAACCGGAAATGTCTAGCATTTCTGAGAACCATTTGAATCATTCCATTTCCATTACTTGATTCAAATGGTTCTTAATGGTTTACATGAAGTTTTCGTATATATACACGTATGCCATCCTATGTTTCTATTCGTCAAGTCAGTCAAGTCCTTTATTTAATTATTCAATTAGATGTAAATGAACCATAACTATGCAACCCTATTCCTAATAGATTAACCCCAAAATAGCATATCCAAATTATAAGAAAGCCCATTGAGGCCACAATTGCAGAATTTATACTTTCAAAAATTTTATTTGTTCTAATATGTAAATAAATCGCGAATACGGTCCAAGTAATAAACGCCCAAGTCTCCTTTGGATCCCAATTCCAATATGATCCCCATGCTTCATTAGCCCATACTGCTCCCGAAAGAATACCTACGGTTAAAAAGATAAACCCTAGACTAATAATACGATAACTCCACCGATCCAATTGTTGAATCAATTGATACCTGTAATAATTTTGAGACGAAATAGAAGTGTTTCGTAAGACATTGTTCCTTTCGTTCACGTGTTGAATCTCACCAAAGTAAAATGACTCATTTACTAATACTAAATTATTGCCTTTACTAAAAATCCTTCTGAATTTTCGAAATGTAATGACTAGAAGAGCTAATGATAATAATGATCCACACAAAAGAGCTGCATAGCTCAATACCATCATACTTACATGCATCATTAACCAATGGGATTGGAGCGCGGGTACTAATATTTCGGATTGATGCATTTCAGTTAAAAGACCCGAAGTAGCAAAACCTTGAGTAAAAATAGCACTTGGCGCGGTTATTGCGCTTAAATGCTTTTTATATTTTTTAAAATACGGAATCATATGAATAATGGAAAAACTCCACGAAAGAAAAATTAATGATTCATATAAATCGCTTAATGGTAAATGCCCCAAATACACCCAACGAGTAACTAATAATCCTGTTATGCAGAAAAAAGTAACTATCATACCCTTTTCTGACGAATCATATAGCCCTACTATTTCATCGACTAATAAAATTATCAAATGAATTGTAATTACAATTGAAACGATAGAAAAGGATATATGAGTTAATATATGCTCTAAAGTTGAAAATATCATAAAAATTATTATTATTAAAAGGGGGTCCCGCAATTATAGGAATTGAAATCGGGAATTGAATTCATTATAGGGCTTACTCTTTTAGAAGATGCCATGCCGCCACTCGGACTCGAACCGAGATGCTCTAGCACTGCTTCCTAAGAGCAGCGTGTCTACCTATTTCACCATAGCGGCTTATTCGAAATCATAATAACCTATTTTTATTCAATCGTCGAGATTGAAGGAGTTAATTAAATGCAATATTTTTTTAGGAAACCATTAAATTGATGAATAAAAACTTGTTTAAGAATTAGGGATTTAAACGTTTTCGTTAATAATATTTATTATCTTTTTATTTATTATTTTAGAATGTCAATTTTATTTAACTGAACTAAAAGTGTAGTTTTTCGTAAGTTATTAATTTATGTTTTCCTAAAACAAAAATGTTACGGTTGGAACTAGATTATTTTGACTTCAATCCATAGATAGAACTAAAAACAATGTTCTGTCTCGTTTGCATTTTTTAATGATTCATTTATTTTATCATTTATTAATCTAAAATAAAAAAAGAATTTTATCGATAAAATATAATTTTTATATAACACAATTTCAGCGATACACTCAAGGGGTTTTTGTAAATATTTGCATAGTTAGTTTTATATGAATTTTTAGTGTTTTTCGTTGTGTAGAGAATTTGTGTTAAGATTTAGCAACCCAATTAAGTTAGGTATTAGTATGGGTGTATCAATTATATAACAATATTTTATATTTCTATCGAAATTGTACCGTACTTCAAAAAATACTTTATAAATTTTTAAATTAATATATATTATATCTTTGATATATATTATATTTTGATCGATCTTCCAATCGAACCATAGGATCTAAAACAGATCACTCAAAATTGGCACATTCGTCATATAACTACCTAAAAATGTAAAAGGGGATTTTATTAATTAAATTGGGTTAAAGAGTTTATATAGTGATAATAATTTAGAAAAATAATGATTTAGAAGATTATAAAACATATTTAAAACTAAATCAATTAGTTTCAACGAACCCTTCATTTTAATATATAATATAATATTAATATATAATTATAATATATATTAAAAAATAAATTTATTTTTATTATTGAGTCAAGTCGATGGGGAAAGTGAGAATCCCCATCCTGAAAATTATAAAATATACTAAAACGAAAGGTGAACCCTTGTGCTTGCATTTATCCTTTTTTCAAACAAAAAAGTACCATTAATTTTTCGAATTAAGTAGACAACAGAATTCTTATCTATATCAGAAATGAAAGAAAAAAGACACCTTCTAAATTAAAACATTATGAAACTAATTATTTTTATTTATTATTTTATATAAATATAAATTTATATTATTTTACTATTATGATGTTAATTAAAATTCTTATAACTTATAAATCTTATAAAAAAATTAGAAACAAAATTAGATTACTTTTATAATTAGACCGATTCAGATTTTTTATTGTATTGTTTGATTACTATTATTTATTTGTTACACAAAAAAAACTTTTAGAACTCCCGGTAGAAAGAGATTTCGCTAACGAAAAAGCTTTCAATGCTGCCCGATATCCCTTCCTTTTCCAAATATTTTTACGAATCCGTTTTTTTGAAATAGAGGTGCGTTTTTTTGGAACTGCCATTAAAAAATTATAATAGGTTCTTCGGTTGGATGTGAAAGACATCTATTGTTCAAAATAAATTTTTCTTTACTGTTGTTCTCTATCTATTTATTCTCTAAATTATACTCCCTTCATAAAAAAGGGGGGTGTGTAAAAATCGCATAAAATATTACTAACAACAATCCCCTATGCCAAATAGAATAGAATTGATTGAAGTTTATAAAATACAATACAAACAAAAAAGAAAAGATTGTGCGTTTAGTTTTCTTTCTATTTTCGTCGTGTTACATTTATACATGTAATAAAATACATCAAAAGTTTAATAACCCAATCCCTCTATCGCTTAATTAAAAAACTTAAATAATTTTCTATTATATTAATTTTAATTAATTTAATTGGTCAAACTCGAAGAAAAAGTACACCCAACTTTAATTATCAAATTCGAGTGGGACTAGTAGTTAATCTGTTAAAAGATACAAAATATATAATTTTTTATTATTTATTATTAAAGGCATTTTATTTGCCCTTTTTTTTTTTTTTACATAAAATAAAGTGTTGGATATCATAGCATTTCCTACAAATAGCTTTTATTGTAATGGAAGACAATCAATTAGTTACAAAACAAATTGTTTAATGATTCTGAATAACCGAATTACAATTACAATAAATAGTTTTTATGGGTCAAGTTATGCGCTTTATGATTCATACCAAACACTGTTTTTGGTGTAATTATTTATCCTCGCTCTATAGATATAAAAGATATAAATAAATTATTTTAATACGTAATAATTAGAATGCAAATTTTATTTAAGTTTTATTTTATATATCTTAATTTTTTTTTATTAACTGACCCCTTTCAACAGAAAACAAATAAGAACCGGTGAATCAGAAACAATTAATTAAGAAAAATATTTTATTTTTTTTTTATGGAATATACATATCAATATTCATGGATTATACCTTTCATTCCACTTCCAGTTCCAATGTTAATTGGAGCAGGACTTCTACTTTTTCCAACGGCAACAAAAAATCTTCGCCGTATGTGGGCTTTTCCGAGTGTTTTATTGTTAAGTATAGTTATGATTTTTTCAGCCCATTTTTCTATTCAGGAAATAAATAACAATTCCGTATATCAATATGTATGGTCTTGGACCATCAATAATGATTTTTATTTAGAATTTGGCTGCTTGGTTGATCCACTTACTTCTATTATGTCAATATTAATCACTACTGTTGGAATGATGGTTCTTAATTATAGTGATAATTATATGTCTCATGATCAGGGATATTTGAGATTTTTTGCTTATATGAGTTTTTCCAATACTTCAATGTTGGGATTAGTTACTAGTTCTAATTTGATACAAATTTATATTTTTTGGGAATTGGTTGGAATGTGTTCTTATCTATTAATAGGTTTTTGGTTCACACGACCTAGTGCGGCGAATGCTTGTCAAAAAGCGTTTGTAACTAATCGTGTCGGGGATTTTGGTTTATTATTAGGAATTTTGGGTTTTTATTGGATAACGGGTAGTTTTGAATTTCGGGATTTGTTTGAGATATTTAATAACTTGGTTTATAATAATGAGGTTAATTTTTTATTTGTTACCTTATGCGCCTTCCTATTATTTGCCGGCGCAGTTGCAAAATCCGCCCAATTTCCCCTTCATGTATGGTTACCTGATGCCATGGAAGGGCCTACCCCCATTTCGGCTCTTATACATGCCGCTACTATGGTAGCAGCAGGGATTTTTCTTGTAGCTCGGCTTCTTTCTCTTTTTTCAGATTTATCTTTAACAAAAAACATCTATCTCTTTCTATTTCTATATATATGGAAAGTTAAAAAATCATCATATAATAATCCAGAAATTGCAATAGAAAAGAAAAAAGGGAGGTTTGTGATGATTTTAAAATCTTTTATACTAGGTAATCTAGTATCCTTATGCATGAAGATAATCAATTCGGTCGTTGTGGTCGGACTCTATTATGGATTTCTGACCACATTCTCCATAGGGCCCTCTTATCTCTTCCTTCTCCGAGCTCGGGTTATGGAAGAAGGAGAAGAAGGAACCGAGAAGAAAGTATCAGCAACAACCGGTTTTATTACGGGACAGCTCATGATGTTCATATCGATCTATTATGTGCCTCTGCATCTAGCATTGGGTAGACCTCATACAATAACTGTCCTAGCTCTACCGTATCTTTTGTTTCATTTCTTCTGGAACAATCACAAACACTTTTTTGATTATGGATCTACTACCAGAAATTCAATGCGTAATCTTAGCATTCAATGTTTATTCCTGAATAATCTCATTTTTCAATTATTCAACCATTTCATTTTACCAAGTTCAATGTTAGTCAGATTAGTCAACATTTATATGTTTCGATGCAACAACAAGATGTTATTTGTAACAAGTAGTTTTGTTGGTTGGTTAATTGGTCACATTTTATTCATGAAATGGGTTGGATTGGTATTAGGCTGGATACAGCAAAATAATTATATTAGATCTAATGTACTTATTAGATCTAATAAGTACCTTGTGTCAGAATTGAGAAATTCTATGGCTCGAATCTTTTGTATTTTCTTTTTTTTTACCAGTGTCTACTATTTAGGCAGAATACCGTCACCCATTGTTACTAAGAAACTGAAAGAAACCTCAGAAACGGAAGAAACAGATGTAGAAATAGAAACAACTTCCGAAATGAAGGGGACTAAACAGGAACAAGAGGGATCCACCGAAGAAGATCCTTCCCCTTCCCTTTTTTCGGAAGAAAAGGAGGATCCGTACAAAATCGATGAAACGAAAGAGATACGAGTGAATGGAAAGGAAAAAACAAAGGATCAATTCCACTTTAAAGAGACACGCTATAAAAATAGACCCGTTTATGAAACTTATTATCTGGATGGGAATCAAGAACAAGAAAATTCAAAGTTAGAAATATTTAAAAAAAGTGATCTCTTCTGGTTTGAAAAACCTATTGTGACTATTCTTTTCGATTATAAACGGTGGAATCGCCCATTGCGGTATATAAAAAACAATCGATTTGAAAATTATGTAAGAAATGAAATGTCACAATATTTTTTTTATACATGTCAAAGTGATGGAAAAGAAAGAATATCTTTTACGTACCCCCCCAGTTTGGCAACCTTTTTTGAAATGATACAAAGTAAAATGTCTCTGTTCAGAAAAGAAAAATTAACTTCTAATGAATTTTATAATCAGTGGAGTTATAGGAATGAACATAAAAAGAAAAAGCTAAACAATAAATTTTTAAATAGAGTAAAAACTCTCGACAAAACTCTAAATCTAAATAAAGAATTTTTTGTTCTGAATGTACTCGAAAAAAGAACTAGATTGTGTAATGATAAGACTAAAAAAGAATACTTAACAAAAATATATGATCCTTTCTTGAATGGACCCTACCGGGGACGGATCAAAAAATTGTTTACACCTTCAATCATAAATGAAGCTTCTATAAAAAATTACATAGAAAGGGTTTGTATAAATAAAATTCATGGTATCCTTCTTATTATTAATTACTTAGAATTTGAACAAAAAACAAATCCATTTGATATAAATGATAGAAAATCATTAGTAACAGAAATCGGTTATTTATTGAATTTAATCAATGAATTGGCTGTAAAATCAACATCAAGTTTAAATTTTCAAAGAATTTTTTTAGTTCCAGAACACGAACAAGTAAGAATTCATTCAGAGGATCAATTTAAAATTTTAAATTTTTTATTCGATGCAGTTAGAACTGTTCCGAACGATAAAACAATAAAAAAAAAATCTATTGAAATAAAAGAAATTAATAAAAAAGTTCCTCGGTGGTCATACAAATTAATCACCGATTTAGAACAACAAGAGGGAGAAACCGAGGAAAGTGTGGTAGAGGATCATGAGATTCGTTCAAGAAAAGCCAAACGCGTAGTAATTTTTACTGATAACCACCAGAATACTGATGCTTATACCAATACCCAAGAAACTAATAATACTGATCAAACAGCCGAAATTGCTTTAATACGTTATTCACAACAACCGGACTTTCGTCGAGACATAATCAAAGGCTCTATGCGCGCTCAAAGGCGTAAAACAGTTACTTGGAAACTTTTTCAAGCAAATGTGCATTCCCCTCTTTTTTTGGACCGAATAGACAAATCTTTTTTTTTTTTTTTTTTTTTATTTTTCAGCCGGTATGAAAATAATTTTTAGAAATTGGATGCGGAAAAACACAGAATTTTCGGATTATACAGAGAAAAAAACAAAAGAAAGCGAGAAAAAAAAAGAAGAGGACAAAAAAGAAGAAGACAAAAGAAAGGAGAAAGCGCGTATAGAAATAGCAGAAGCCTGGGATAGTATTTTACTTGCTCAAGTACTAAGAGGTTTTTTGTTAGTAACCCAATCAATTCTTAGAAAATATATTATATTACCTTCATTGATAATAGCTAAAAATATAGTCCGTATACTATTATTTCAATTTCCTGAATGGTCTGAGGATTTAAAGGATTGGAATAGAGAAATGCATATTAAATGTACCTATAATGGCGTTCAATTATCAGAAAAAGAATTTCCAAAAAACTGGTTAACAGACGGTATTCAGATCAAGATCCTATTTCCTTTTAGTCTTAAACCTTGGCACAGATCTAAACTACAAGCCCCTTATAATGATCCAATGAAAAAAAAGGATCAAAAAAACGATTTTTGCTTTTTAACAGTTTTTGGAATGGAAACGGAACTACCTTTTGGTTCTCCCAGAAAAAAACTTTCATTTTTTGAACCCATTTTTAAAGAACTAAAAAAAAAATTTAAAAAATTGAAAAAGAAATGTTTTATAATTCTAAGAATTTTAAAAGAACAAAAAAAATTGTTTCTAAATGTCTCAAAAGAAACAAAAAAATGGATCATTAAAAGCATTCTGTTTATAAAAGAAATAATAAAAGAACTCTCAAAAATAAACCCAATTATATTATTTGGATTTGGATTGAGAGAAATAGAAGTATATGAATTGAGTGAAACTAAAAAAGATTCGATAATTGGTAATCGGATGATTCATGAATCGTCGATTCAAATTATATCTCAGGGTTGGACAAATTATTCATTAACAGAAAAAAAAATTCAAGATCTAACTGATAGAACAAATACAATCATAAATCAAATAGAAAAAATTACAAAAGAAAATAAAAAAGGAATTCCAGATATAAATTTTAGTTCTAACAAAATAAGTTATGATGATAAAGGATCAGAATCACAAAAAAATATTTGGCGGATATTAAAAAGACAAAATGTTAGATTAATCCGTAAGTCACATTATTTTATAAAATATTTCATTGAAAGGATATACATAGATATCTTTCTATGTATCATTAATATTCCTAGCATCAATACACAACTTTTTCTTGAATCAACAAAAAAAATTATTTATAAATACATTAACGATAATGAAGCAAATCACGAAAGAATTGATAAAACAAATCAAAGTGTAATTCCCTTTATTTCGACTATAAAAAAGTCATTTACTAATATTAGTAATAAGAATTCAAAGACTTTTTGCAACTTATCTTACTTTTCACAAGCATATGTATTTTACAAATTATCACAAACTCAACCTATTAACTTATATAAGTTAAAATCTGTATTTCAATATAACGGAATGTCTCTTTTTCTTAAGAATGAAATAAAGGATTTTTTTGTTGTAACACAAGAACTATTTCATTCCGAATTAAGACATAAGAATCTTCGCAATTATGGAATGAATCAATGGACAAATTGGTTAAGGAGTCAGTATCAATGTGATGTATCTCATATTAAATGGTCTAGATTAGTACCACAAAAATGGCGAAATATATTCAATCAACACTGTATGGCTCAAAATAAAGATTTATGTGATTTATATGAAAAGGATCGATTAATTAACTACGAAAAAAATTTCGAAACAGATTCATTACTGAATCAAAAAGATAATTTTAAAAAACAATATAGATATGATATTTTAGCATATAAATCTATTAATTATGAAGATAAGAAGGACTCTTATATTTATGGATCACCATTACAAGTAAAAAATAAACAAGATATTTTTTATAATTACAACACACATACACAAAAATCATTTAATATGCCGGAAGGTATTCCTATTATCCCTTATCTAGTAGAAGATGATATTAGAGATATGGAGATAAATCCGGATAGAAAATATTTTGATTGGAGAATTTTCCATTTTTGTCTTAAAAATAAGGTCGATATTGACGCCTGGATCGATATTGATACTGACACTAACAGTAATAAATATACTAAGACTAGGGTTAATAAGTATCAAATAATTGATAAAATCAATAAGAGGGGTCTTTTTTATCTCACGATTCAGCAAGATCAAGAAATCAATCTATACAATCAAATAACCCTTTTTGATTGGATGGGGATGAATGAAGAAATACTAAGTTGTCCCATATCAAATATGGAATTTTGGTTCTTCCCAGAATTGGGGATACTTTATAATACGTATAAAATTAAACCGTGGGTTATACCAATTAAATTACTAGTTTTAAATTCTAATATAAATGAAAATTATAGTAAAAACAAAAGCATCACCGGAAATAAAAAAAGGGATCCTTTTATATCAATATCGGAGAATTCAAAAAAATCTTTTGAATTAGAAAACCGAAATCAAGGGGAAAAAGAATACGCGGTCCAAGCAGATTTTAAATCAGCTCTTTCAAACCAAGAAAAAGATGTTGAAGAAGATTATACGGGATCGTACATGAAAAAAAATAGAAATAAAAAGCAATACAAGATCAATACAAAAGCGGAGTTTGATTTCTTCCTAAAAAGGTATTTGCATTTTCAATTGAGATGGGATGATTCTTTAAATAAAAAAATAAGCAATAACATCAAAGTATATTGTCTCCTGCTTAGACTGATAAATCCAAGAGAAATTACTATATCCTCTATTCAAAGAGGCGAAATGAGTCCGGATATTCTGATGATTCAGAAAGATTTAACTCTTACAGAATTGATTAAAAGGGGAATTTTGATTATTGAACCAATCCGTCTATCTATAAAAAATGATGGAAAATTTATTATGTATCAAACCATCGGTATTTCATTAGTTCATAAAAGCAAACACCAAATTAATCAAAGATACCGAGAAAAAAAACATGCTGATAAGAATTCTGATGAAGCCATTACAAAACATCAAAGGATGACTGGAAATAGAGATAAAAATCATTATGATTTGTTTGTTCCTGAAAATATTTTATCACCTAGACGTCGTAGAGAATTGAGAATTCTAATTTGTTTCAATTCTGAGAATAGACATATAAATGCAGCATTTTGTAATGGGAATAAGGTAAACAGTCAAGTTTTGGATAAAAGCAAAAACTATAAAAAAAAACTTATTAAATTTAAGTTATTTATTTGGCCCAATTATCGATTAGAAGATTTGGCTTGTATGAATCGTTATTGGTTTAATACCAATAATGGCAGTCGTTTCAGTATGGTAAGGGTACATATGTATCCGCGATTGACAATGCATTAATAGTACATTTTTGCTATATTTCCCATACTATATCTGATCTATGACGACAAAGAGATGCACACATGCATTGTCTTACATTCCATCGTTCCATTCTGATACACGATACTAATTCAATGACATATCAATTTGATCTAGAAATGAATCAACAAAATATTATTATTTTAGGTCTAAATTTTTATCTTTTGTGAGTGCAGAAAACAACCATCCTTTATGTATACCCTTTCAAATCCAAATAAAATTTACAAATTAAAAATTTAATTTTATTAAAAAAAATTCGAAATTAATAACAAAATTAATATTTTTGTATATACAAAATAAAAATGAGAGGCATTATTATTACTGATCAATAAAGATATCTATCAATAAAAATTTCTTAAAATAAAAAGAGGGGGGCGAGAAGATTTCATTTTATGGTAAAAAATTCATTCATCTCAGCTATTTCACAAGAAGAAAAAGACGAAAACAGAGGATCTGCTGAATTTCAAATAGTTAGTTTCACCAATAGGATACGAAGACTTACTTCACATTTAGAATTACACAAAAAAGACTATTTATCTCAGAGAGGTTTACGTAAAATTCTGGGAAAACGCCAACGACTGCTGTCTTATTTGTCAAAGAAAAATAGAATATGTTATAAAGAATTAATTAATCGGTTGGATATTCGGGAGTCAAAAACCCGTTAATTTGAAGAGGCATTTTGAATTATTTGATTTATTAGATCGTGAATTTTAATGAACTTTTTTTCGTTTTCAGCAATTCATGAAAGAATGAATCGAGGAAAAACCGATGAATATACCAGCTACAAGAAAAGACCTCATGATAGTCAACATGGGCCCCCACCACCCATCAATGCATGGTGTTCTTAGACTCATCATTACTCTAGATGGTGAAGATGTTATTGATTGTGAACCAATATTGGGTTATTTACACCGAGGGATGGAAAAAATTGCGGAAAACCGAACAATTATACAATATTTGCCTTATGTAACACGTTGGGATTATTTAGCTACTATGTTCACAGAAGCAATAACTGTAAATGGACCGGAACAGTTGGGAAATATTCAAGTACCTAAAAGAGCTAGCTATATCAGAATAATTATGTTGGAGTTGAGTCGTATAGCTTCTCATCTGTTATGGCTTGGTCCTTTTATGGCGGGTATTGGGGCACAAACTCCCTTTTTTTATATTTTTAGAGGAAGAGAATTAGTATATGATCTATTCGAAGCTGCCACCGGTATGAGAATGATGCATAATTATTTTCGTATCGGAGGAGTAGCGGCCGATCTACCTCATGGTTGGATAGATAAGGGTTTGGATTTCTGCGCTTCTTTTTTAACAAGAGTTGCTGAATATCAAAAACTTATTACACGAAATCCTATTTTTTTAGAACGAGTCGAGGGAGTAGGCATTATTGGTAGAGAGGAAGTAATAAATTGGGGTTTATCGGGACCAATGCTGCGAGCTTCCGGAATACAATGGGATCTTCGTAAAGTTGATCGTTATGAATGTTACGACGAATTTGATTGGGAGGTACAGTGGCAAAAAGAAGGAGATTCATTGGCTCGTTATCTAGTCCGAATTGGTGAAATGATAGAATCTATAAAAATCATTCAACAGGCTCTGGAAGGAATTCCAGGGGGACCCTATGAGAATTTAGAAATACGATACTTTGATAGAGAAAGGAATCCGGAATGGAATGATTTTGAATATCGATTTATTAGTAAAAAGCCTTC